TTGAAAACTAGCGGGGCTTCCTCGCGAGTAAATCTGCCTTTTGTCCTGAGTCAGGAAGTTTTTCCACGGGATGAGCCACGGTCTTGTAGAAGCTTGGAGCAATATATATATATATTTTAAAGGCCACGATCCTCATTCGCTTACCTGGAAACCTCATGGAACTGAATGGGACTTGCTTCTGAGCAGACACGCTTAGGATCGGGGCAGCTGGGAGGGGGGAGCGCCGTGAAGTTTGCGAAGGGGAAAAGTGTCGCAGTTAGTCCGAATTCTTTCCTCCCGTCGCCGCCTCCTCCAGTCGCACCTCATTCCCCCCCCCAAAAAAAAAACTCGTCCCAAATTCTTTGACTTTGAAGGAAATCTGGAATTTTACGTGGCTTTTCCCGACAGCCGCATAATAATAATAATAATAATAATAATAATAATAATAATAATAATAATCCCCGCGCGCCGTGGCTTGGCTAAGCGGTGAAACTCGCGTGTCAACTCCCAAACTTTTAAAAATCCGGATTGCGTGGAACACCCTCCCCCCACCCCTCAAAAAAATCGGAGTAGGAGAGAAGTGAAACGGGAGGGGGAGCAGAAGAAGGATGGAGGTTCCCATTAGTGATATAGAATTGGCTTTTGGAGTGGGGGCTAAACGCCAGCCGATGCCAAAAAAATAAAATACTTCGTCGTTTGCAATGTGCAGCAATAATAATTGTAGCGTCTTATAGTGGGAGGCTGTAGAAAAATGTTGGAATGAACGTATGAATCACAGCCCTCTCCTTCCAAAGCACACACACCGCTCGAAGAAACATTCCAGACAAACCGCCCACCTCAATTAATAGATATAGCGAATTATCGGCATGTTTGATCGTTCACGTGAACAGTGGTTGTCTGAATGCAAGTCTGCATCTCAGTAAATGGCCCGTGAGGTGATAGGTCTCTGGTTGGGGGCCCTACAAGACTGTAAAGCGGGGCTCCTCATACACGGCTGAAGATCACCCATGCCCCAAAATAAAATAACATAAATCCCTGCAGATAGAAATCTAGTTCCACAGGGACAGCCCTGTCTGTCAGTTGCAGCAAACGGGGGGGGGGCACCTCAAAGACTGACAGTCTGACGGAGCCAGAGGCCTTGCAGCGGCCCGCTTTAGAGACCTAGGTGACGGAGAGAGAGAAAGGTTGTCTTGCTAGATTTCTGCAGGCGGGGATTTTGCTGTGCCTACAGGAGCGCTCAGCCGGGCCGCTGTTTGCTGCGACGTCTAGGCCGGACGCAGTGATTTCCTAGTTTACCTCTTCCCCTTACCTTCCCCCGACCGCAGAATTATGGCTAAATTCTTAATGAAAGGCTACTGTATAAATCATTCTCTCATATATGGCAGTCCTGTCAACAGAGTCGAAAGTCCAGCCCTCCGGATAAAACACCAACAACTTGATATTTCAGGGCTAGATGTCCCTTTTCATAATGAGAGAGAGAACTGTTTAAATTAACCAGGAATTTTTTTTTTACGCTTCTTCCGCGCAGCTATTCAGTTGCGCCATTAGAAAGTTCCCCGCTCCTCCAGCAAGCCGCTAGTCCTCATTGTGACCTCATTTTACGCTTCCTATTCATCCTCCTCCTTATTTTGCGCCGGTTTCAGAAGTAAACAGGGCCGGTGTTATTACCTCCAGGCGGATCCTTAACTTCCCAGGAGAGGCAGCGAACTCGCCACGCTTTGGGGAGTTCCCAAACCTCAGCCTTCCTTAAGAAGCCGACCTCAAGTCAGAAATCATGCGCCTTTTTCATGCGTAACAGAGAGCCGGGTTATGGTGCCATTTCTACAGAAACTCACACCCTTTTTAAAAAAAATAAAAACCCTTCCCCTTTCCCCCTTCTTTTAATTTTATTCTGCTTCCAACTGCCGGCCATGTCCGGAACAAGAGTTTTGTGGTTCGGGAAAAGTTTGGGAGCCGAGTTAATTTTTCTTCTCCAAACGCCTGGAGCTGGGCCGCGTTTTCTCTTTTCGGGGGATGGGGGAAGGAAATATCAACCTCTATCCAGCCCTCCTCCTGGGTTTTTTGAGGTGGTTTTGTGTGTGTGTGTGTTGTGTTTTTTGACACACACCCCCCCCCTTTGCAAATAAGGAGGTGAAGTTGGCCAAGGAAACATATAGGTCTTGTGAAATCTGCAAGTGGCGAAGGGGAGAGCAGGAGATGGGAGGTGTGGGGTTATGTCAATCGCACCTCTTTCGGGGATTGCGCCCTGGTGTGTGTGTTGTGTTGTGTTGTGTTGTGTTGTGTTGTGTTGTGTTGTGTTGTGTTGTGTTGTGTTGTGTTGTGTTGTGTTGTGTTGTGTTGTGTTGTGTGTGTGTGTGTGTGTGTTGGTTTGGGACACAGACTCACTCACACACACACACACACAGATAGAATGAGTACCACCTTGGCCCTGCGACCCCCGGGTTCCCTGCAGCGTGCGTGGCCCTGGCACCGAAATTTGTGGGTGCCTGGCCCCTTCAAGGGGAATTTTGTGGGTGCTCGGGGGTACCCAGAAAGTTAGCTCTTGCGCTGTGGTGAGTATTCCTAGCCGGTCTCTGAGAAATCTCCCTTTGTGATGTTCTCGATCCTTTGCAGACAGAACTCCCTTTCCAACAGAATAGGGGGTCTCCTTGTTTGTTTATTCTTTTGTAGGGGGTGTCTCCCCTTGTCGTTTGACTCGCTCGCTTGCTCGCCGCTTTGCAGCATCTGCTAAAAGTGGTTTTCCAGGGAGCGAATCATTTCACTTTCTATTGCGGGTGGGGTCTGGACAGATCTCCAAAACCCATGGACGCCGCCTCCCATCCCACAGTCCCTAATTAAACGGCCTGCCCCCCCCCCCAAATCCACCAACAAGGCAATTCTGTGGGTGCCTACTCGGACGTAAAGCCCCATTGAATTCAATGGGTGGGGGCTTACTCTCAAGCATATATGCAGCTGAAGGCCCCATTGAACTGAATGCACTTCTGAGCAGTTGGCCTGAAAGCACATCTTGCGCACATCTTCCTTACCTAGAAGTAAGGCCGGCGAGACTTCGGAGCAAACATGCCCCGCGTTATGTTGAGAAACATCCTGGTTTTATTGTTACTGTTACCAGAATCAACAGCCTGCTGTTACATTAGCTTACCAAAAGAAGATTTTTGTTGACGCTGGGGCGGGGGCAGAAGGGAATAGAAGTTAGGAGAGAGTTGTGACTTCTTTGCCGGGAGCTAAAAACTGGGCTGGGGGGGTTGGAGAAGAGAAAAACTACTTTAAGTTTGGAATTCCCTCCTCTTCAGATGATAGGTGTCTATAAACAAGCTCACTTTCAGGCAATTGTGCGTCGCTCAGTCCTGACTTAGGAAACTTTGGGTACGCGCGCGTGTTTCGCTTCGCAAGGTGCGTGCGGAAGGTCGGTGGCAATAATGGGATTTTTTAAAAGGCGAGAGGGAGGGCGAGAGTGCTCCAGAATAGGAAGAGGCTTCGTTTATTCCTCTCGAATCCCATTTTCCTCGCGAAAGGTGCGCGCGAGTGGGTAGCTCCTGAGCTGAAAGCCTTGGAGACGCGATTCCTGCAGCGCGTCGTTCCCCTGTTCCGGCGATTCTCACCCAAGAGGACTGCTGAGTCCAGCCAAGGTCTACTCGGAAGTAGAGCCTCTCAAAGGAATGGGGGGGGGTCCTCTTCTCTCGGTTGGAGTAGCGCCGGGCACGCCTCACGCACCCCTTTCTCGGAGGCCTTGATTCTGATTTCTAAACTCTCCAAAAAAACCCCACCACTCGGGGAGTTTAGCTGTAAGGATCTATGCAAATCCAGATGATTTTAAAAAAGCAAACACCTTTCTCTCACTCCAAAGTTTGCTCTTTTATTTCAAATTCCCTCCCAGAGGGAGAATATGGGAGTTCTCTCCACCGCTCCGAAATGGACATTTGACTGATATTATTATTATTATTATTATTATTATTATTATTATTATTATCATCATCATCATCATCATCATCTCAGGCCTGTTTGCTTCACACCTTATGAAAATTCCCAAGTCTGCATCTCAGCTTTTTCTTAAAAGTGGGGGGTTTTTTGGGTGGGTGGGGGGTAAACTCCATCTCTTCCCCTCCGTTCTTCCCTTCCCTAGAATGTTAGTACAGCATTTATGGATTATTATTTATTTTTAAAATCATATTATTTTTAGCCCCCTCCCGGGTTGTGAACCTACCCCCCCTTTTTAAAGCCCCTAAATAATTTAAAAAATAAAAAATAAAAAATTGTGGACCATTCCTCTTTTCCCGGAGTCGCATACGATCTCCTTTCATTATATATATTTTTAAAAATCGCCTGCGTAAAGGCGCGATCTTTGGGCACGTCTCCTCGCGAGGAGGAGGAAGGCGCCCCCACCCTCCAGCCCCGGAGTTCGACGCGACCTTTGCTCCTAGCTAAAACGTGGGTGCGGGATCGCAGCCTTCGGGTGCTTTCGCGCCGGCAGCCAGTGGCGTAGCGTGGGTTCTCAGCACCCGGGGCAAGGCAAGTAATTTGCGCCCCCTAACCCGTGGATTTGCGCCCCCTAACCCGTGGATTTGCCCTAACCCCCAGATGTTGCGCCCGGTGCGGCCGGCCCCCCCTGCACCCCCCATGCTACGCCACTGCCGGCAGCTGTGATCCCCTACCTACCCACCTACCCACCTACCTATTATTATCGCTGTGAATTGCCATCCCAGCTTTCCACCTTTTCTCGAAAAGCGACGCGTTAACTTTTTACCAAAGCGCATTGCATGCACGCGCCCTGCGCGCGCTACGCGTAGGGTTGGATACGACTGCAGCCACCCCTCCTAATTTATTTATTTTTTTAAAAAGTTGGATTTATACATATATATATATATATAATGCTTCTCTTTCGGAGGGTTAGGCGTGCTTTCCTCTCTCTCTCTCTGTCCCCCCCCCCCGCGCTCTCCCTGGTCCCACCCCCTCCCCTCGGACACCCTCCCCCTCGCCGTCTCCTCCCCCCCCCCCGCACCGATCCATCGCCGGGAAAGAGAGAGTGAGAGTGTGTGTTGGAGAGAGGGAGAGGGAGAGTGTGAGAGGGGAAAACTGTTCCAGCCTCCGAAATGACTCAGTAACTTTTACGCTTGGAGCTGCTTTCTCAAACCTCTCTCTTCTCCCCCCCCTTAAAAAAAACCCCTCCTCAACGGTTTACTCCGCGACAGCTTGGAGATGTATTCTTCACCTCTCTGCCTCGCCCAGGTAATTAAGGCCTTTTTCCTCCCCCCCCTTTTACCAGAGATCTCCTTTCCACCCCCCCTCCTTCCTTCCTTCCTTCCTTCCTTTTTGCATTGCTAATTTGTATCATATTTTTTTTTGGGGGGGGGAATTGAAATCTGTTTCCTCTTCGCAGCTCGGTTCCTTTCACCCACCGTCCCCCTCTCAAAATCCTTTCTCTCCACCCCAACCACCCCCACCCCCCCACCGGAGAAAAGAGTTTTGTCCATTGCAGAAAATGCGTGGCGGGGCTGCGGGCTTGTGGCGCGCGGGGGGGGGGGGCGTTGGTTGTTGGAGAGAGAGAAAGCGGTCTGTGCATTCGTCCGCCTCTGAGTCAGTTGAGCTTTGCAAAAGGCGCCCGGTCTCTGTCAAACACCCCCCCCCTTTCCCCACTTTGCAGGTCGATTGCAATAAGTTTCTATTTGCATCCTACCCTCCTAAACCACCACTCCCCCCCCCGGAAAAAAAACCACCCTCCTTCCCTCCTAGTTGTTGTGTTTTGAGCCGAACTGCTGGCTTTTAGCAATGCACGAATCTGGATCAGTATAATATGTGGGGGACAGGACACCCCCTAATCTGCACTCCTTAGGCAGCATGGGCTGGTCTTTCCACACTGTCTTTCCACACTGGGGGGGTGTGTGTGGAGTGGGTGGCTAGGGGTTTTTTTCGGTGGGGGAGAGGAGAGGCTTAATATCAACTGTTTCCCCAACTATGCACCAAGTTCTGATAAGTTGGCAAAGAGAGAGGGCTGTGTGTGTCTGAGAGAGCGCATTTTTGCAAGAATGCCGAGCGCATGAGTCCCAGTGTGCCGGAGTTTCCAAGGCTATTCCATGCCAGCGTGCGTAGGGGTTGATTCAGTGTGCGCGCCGTGGGTTTGTAAGTATCGGTGAGCCTTTGAGTGCCCCAGAGGTCTCGAAATCCATCCCAGTGCGCCGGAGCGAGTGTGCAAATGCGCCATGCGCTGCTGCCATAGCCCCCCCCCCGCATGGCAAGATGTGAACCTGTGCACATGGAAGTGAGAACGCTCATGTGTGCCAGGCGAGGCGGCGTGCAAGAGCTCGGGCATGCAAGTGTGCAAATGCGCCGTGCGCTGGTGCCATAGGCCCCACATTCCTCCCTTCATGGAAGGATGTGCCCAGGAACCTGTGTACATGGAATTGAGAACGCTCGTGTGTGCGAGACAAGAGAGAGTGAGAGTGCAAGAGTCTGGCAGTCCGGCGCACGTGTCACCCAGACGATAGCGTCCATGCGGGGCCCTCGTGCAAAGGCTGCGCTTCGTGAAAGCGTGCAAGCGTGTGGGAGACAGCTGATTGCGAGCGAGGGGTGTGTGTTTGTTTGTGTTTGTGTGTGTGTGTGTCTTCCTTCCTGTGCCTACCCCCCACATGCCTGTGACATCAGTGTGCGCCGGCCACCGATCTGCAACGACACTGTTGCAGCACGAGGCATGAAATATTCACACGCCATGCTGTATATTTCATGGGAAATGTCGCTGGTCGGGTTCCCCTGGCGTCATCAGAGCAAGCACAGTTTCTTACAGTCCTGTTAATTTTCGGAGCGGTCCCTTTGCTTAGTTGTGAACACATCTGGGTCTCCCCACAAACCCGTCTTCCTGTGGTGCCCTCGTTGTGTTGCCAGTCACGGGATGTTGTGTGGCTTTCCTCGGCTGTTTGTTTTCCCTCTGTGTGTGTCAAAATCCAGTGTGGGTTGCAGGTCTCCCTTTGGAAAGGACACAGTGTTCGCCCTTCCCTCGACGTGGCCTGTTATAAAGTCTTTTTCCTGCATGCAAGTTTTCCTTAGCGGCGAAGCGTTGCCTTATAGTGCCCGGGGCCTGATATTATTGCGGGCTCCTTCCGACTTTTGCAGCGTAATTCTCTGCTTTCACGTCCCCTCCAGTGGGGTGGCCTCCCCTCCCTCCCTCCCTGATAGATTCTTGATATTTTATTTTAATTATTGAACACCCGGCCTCTCATGTAACGACTTCCTTGCTGCAAACTAAGGGTGATTCTTCTGATAAGTAACTCCTAAACAAAGCGGCGTCTCGCAAGAACCTTGACATCCTTTTCTATCAAGGGCATGGATTTTATTTTATTTCTAAGTGCATTTGTTGTGTGTGGGAGGGGGGAACAAACTGATAGCAAACTCAAGGATTTTCCGTGCAGCGGGGAGAATTTGACTTAGGCAGCCCCCAAAACATAGAGAGGCGTTTAGAACAGACAAGGCCCGTGTTGATACAAGCTGGCCTGAGCTTTTGATAGTAGATGTGCAAAGATGTGGCCCAGCCAAGTCACAATTTGGCCCAATTTCAATATTCCGTTATCAGAATTCTGGACTCCCTCTTTTTTTAAAAAAACCCTGTTTTTGAAAGCTTTGAGACTTAAATCTTCCCATTGCTTGTAAATCCTTTTTGCTAGTTTTTTTTAAACAACAGCTCAAAGTCCTGTCCCAGAGATCGAATAAAATGCCTGGCTTTCCGAGTTTCAGAATAAAAAAAGGGGGAAAATCTTGACTTAAATCTTCACCTTGGATCAAACACATGTGATCCTCTGTAAAATATCAGCCAGTAGTTTCAAAACCTTGCTCTGTGATACAGTTGCAGTCATGTTTCAACAAAGTGAGGTTCGTTCAGAGTTGGGGTTTTTTAAAGGGTTTTGTTCGTTCAAAACACCTATCCGTGTGGGAAGCTGCTCGCCGCAACCCTGTACGATGTATTGCTCTCACCGGGGGAATGGGACGGGTAATTTTGCACCAGATATGGTTTGGTACATGGGGCACAGGTGGTGCTGTGGGTTAAACCACAGAGCCTAGGACTTGCCGATCGGAAGGTCGGCGGTTCGAATCCCCGTGACGGGGTGAGCTCCCGTTGCTCGGTCACAGCTCCTGCCAACCTAGCAGTTCGAAAGCACCTCAAAGTGCAAGTAGATAAATAGGTACCACTCCGGCGGGAAGGTAAACGGCGTTTCCGTGCGCTGCTCTGGTTCGCCAGAAGCGGCTTAGTCCTGCTGGCCACACGACCCGGAAGCTGTACGCCGGCTCCCTCGGCCAATAAAGCGAGATGAGCGCTGCAACCCCAGAGTCGGCCACGACTGGACCTAACGGTCAGGGGTCCCTTTACTTTTAGACCTGGAGGAAAGGGATGTGGGAGGTGCTGTGGGTTAAACCACAGAGCCTAGGACTTGCCGATCAGAAGGTCGGCGATTCGAATCCCCGCAATGACGGGGTGAGCTCCTGTTGCTCGGTCCCTGCTCCTGCCCACCTAGCAGTTCGAAAGCAGGTCAAAGTGCAAGTAGATCAATAGGTACCACTCCGGTGGGAAGGTAAACGGCGTTTCCGTGCGCTGCTCTGGTTCGCCAGAAGCGGCTTAGTCCTGCTGGCCACATGACCTGGAATCTGTACACCGGCTCCCTCAGCCAGTAAAGCGAGATGAGCACCGCAACCCCAGAGTCGGTCACGACTGGACCTAATGGTCAGGGGTCCCTTTATGGTTTGGTACAGTCCATCATGACGGATAACAGGGACAGAGTAGGCTGCCCTGAGCAGAAGAGGGTACCCGTTGCCTCTCTGCATGAGTCTCTGCTCTAGATTGGCTCCTCTTATTTTTAATCCAGGCAAAAATCAGCTCACTCTTATCAGATGGTTAGGAAACAGCGAACCAAGCAGAACATTTTTTTAAAAAAATGAATGTAATCGCCTTAAAGTCCCATATACATGGAATGATGTGGGGGCCATATTTGCAACGGAGGAATATTTACGTTTTTCAAGTTTGAAATGCGGAGATGCGCTGTGGATCACTTTCAGTTTCAACCGCGGGGGGGGGGGGGGCAAGGTGTGCGGTGTGGAGCCCAGGAGCCAATCGCCAAATAAAATATTTGAGGGGACCAGTTCCCCCCAAAGTTGACCATAGCTGTCAACGTTTCCCTTTTTAAAGAGAAATTCCCTTGTTCCAAATAGGATTCCTCACAAGAAAAGGGAAAAGTTGACAGCTATGCAATTTCCCAGTACAGTGGTACCTTGGGTTAAGTACTTAATTCGTTCTGGAGGTCCGTTCTTAACCTGAAACTGTTCTTAAACTGAAGCACCACTTTAGCTAATGGGGCCTCCTGCTGCTGCTGCGCCGCCAGAGCACAATTTCTGTTCCCATCCTGAAGCAAAGTTCTTATTTCTGGGTTAGTGGAGTCTGTAACCTGAAGTGTATGTAACCCGAGGTACCACTGTAGTGATGTATGGAAGTGAGAGCTGGACCATCAAGAAGGCTGATGGCCGAAGAATGGATGCTTTTGAATTCTGGTGCTGGAGGAGACTCTGGAGAGTCCCATGGACTGCAAGAAGATCCAACCTCTCCATTCGGAAGGAAATCAGCCCTGAGTGCTCACTGGAAGGACAGATCCTGAAGCTGTGCAATAACACAGTGTTTTGTGTTGTGTAGGCTCCTGTGATATAAGTCATGGGCCCCATTTATTTCCTTGACGTCTGATGGGAGGGCGCCACCACCGAGAAGGCCCTCTGCCTGGTTCCCTGCAACCTCGCTTCTCGCAGGGAGGGAACCGCCAGAAGGCCCTCAGGAGATGGACCCCGGTGTCCGGGGTGGAGATGCTCCTTCAGGGATACTGGGCCATTTAGGGCTTTCAAGGTCAGCACCAACACTTTGAATTGTGCTCGGAAACGTCCTGGGAGCCAATGTAGGTCTTTCAGGACTGGGGTTATATGGTCTCCACCTCCCAGTCCCCAGTCTGGCTGCCGCATTCTGGATTAGTTGCAGTTTCGGGGTCACCATCAAAGGGACCCCCACATAGAGCACATTGTGGTAGTTAAGACCTATACAGCATAAGCCCAGGCTATATGAAGAACTGTATTCTCCCGTACGAACCTGCCCTGGCTCTGAGATGTTTGGGCTTTCCCTTCTCTCGGTCCTGCCAACCTCACAGGCTCGCTTGGTTGGGGGTGCAAGACGGGGCCTTCTCTGTGGTGGCTCCTCCGAAACAACTTTG